CTTCTCCTTCGTTGAGCGTCTCGGTCGTGTGGTTGTCAGCATAGTGCCTCCTCTTGGACCGCGCGTAGAAGAGCTCGATCTGCCACCTTGAGACCCCCGTGGTGTACGAGATGCACTTGTGCGTGAACTCTCACTGCTATCCTCCTCATCTTTCTCTTCATCCTCCTGCTCCTTCGTTGTGCGTCTGGGTCGTGTGGTTGTCAGCATAGTGCCTCCTCTTGGACCGCGCGTAGAAGAGCTCGATCTGTCACCTTGGGACCCCTGTGGTGTACGGGCTGCACTCGTGCGCGAGCTCTCACTGCTATCCCCCTCATCTTTCTCTTCATCCTCTTTCTCCTTCGTTGAGCGCCTGGGTCGTGTGGTTGTCAGCGTCGTGATGCCGCTTGGACCGCGCGTAGAAGAGCTCGATCTGTCGCCTTGCTGCCCCCGTGGTGTACGGCCTGCACTTGTGCGTGAGCTCTCACTGCTATCCTCCTCACCTTTCTCTTCATCCTCGCTCTCCTTCGTTGAGCGTCTCGGTCGTGTGGTTGTCAGCATAGTGCCGCCTCTTGGACCGCGCGTAGAAGAGCTCGATCTGTCACCTTGGGACCCCCGTGGTATACGGGCTGCACTCGTGCGCGAGCTCTCACTGCTATCCTCCTCATCTCTCTCTTCATCCTCCTGCTCCTTCGTTGTGCGTCTGGGTCGTGTGGTTGTGAGCGTAGTGCCGCCTCTTGGGCCGCGTGTGGAAGAGCTCGATCTGTAAGCTTGAGACCCCCGTGGTGTACGGGCTGCACTTGTGCGCGAGCTCTCACTGCTATCCTCCTCATCTTTCTCTTCATCCTCCTTCTCCTTCGTTGTGCGTCTGGGTCGTGCGGAGTTCGGGGAGTCCGCATGTGGCTGGATGTGCCTTGAGGCGCCGGTCATGGTTGCTTGGGGAGCGCTGATGCCGCTGAGAAGCGGAGACGTCGTGGCAACATCACTTCGCGTTGGCGCTACAGTCAAGGAGGTGTATCCCGTTCTTGGGCGCTGTGAACTGGACGGGATGGGACTCGTGCGGATTCGAGCTTCTGGCGTTGGGGTCGTTGTGAGGGTAGAGAGCTGGAGGTCCGTCGATGTAGCGCGCCTGTCGCCCGCAGGGTCTGTAGAGTTCTGGACAGTGGCAGTCGTCAAAACTGGCGGGGTTTCAGCAGTTCTAAGTGAAGCGCTGCTGCTCCTCCATCTACTGCTAATGCTGCTAGCGCTCCTGCTAGTGCTCTTGATGCCGCTGGTGGTGTGGCGGGAAGAGGGATATCGTGCAGCAACCGTCACTGAAGTGGCTACCTGTGGGGCAACAGTCTGTGTATATGTAGGCTGCTGAGATGTTCCTTTCGTTGTAATGTTCCCCTCGCTAGCCCGCGCAAAGCTGCTGAAGAGTCCGATATTGCCACTTGAGCTGGTACGTAAGGGGAGGGGTGGGGAGGTAGGGGTACTGCTGCTGCTGCTGCTCTCCTTTTCACTTAGTCGTCGTTGCAACATGCCACCTCCACGTCCCTCCTGAAAATCTTGATCTCCGTCGTCATCACCGTCATCTCTCCCCTCAGGGATCCCGGAAAGAATTCCGCTTCGCTCTGCGGGTAAGGAGGCTCCAGGTCTGCTGCCTGTCGAGGGCCCCCCAAAGCTCCTAGAAGACTGTGCACCCTGCCGAGAGGCACGTTGGGGAGGCATTTCTTCAAACGAGATCCCTCTTCCTCGCAGCGGCGGAGCCCTCTGCGTGGTGTTATTCTCTCTGGAAGTGGCGTCATCAGCTGCCTCGTCTGAGGCCTGATCTGACAAACGTTCCCTTCTAACCCGCTTGCGAGGCCCTCCTCCAAAAGCAGCAGAAGGTGAAGAAGTCCGGGAGGCAGAACTAGTCTGCCTGCTGCGCCTGAAGAAAGGGAGAGTTCTCCACTGTGAATTGTCATCCGCTTGTTCATCTTCTTCGTTTTCATCGGTTGAGGAGGCCCCGGCAATGCCGTCCTTCCCTTCGCCGTCTTCCTCCCCGTCGGAGGGGCCAGACCGCAGTGCTGTCCTTTGCGGACGACGGTATGCAGGTGCTGTAGAACGCCCCCTCCCGCCTCTCCCCCTCTCTTCCTCTGAGGCCCCGGAAGGTTCGTCCCCTTGTCGCGTAGTCCTCCATGAGCGCGCATGGGAGGATCGGGGAACTCGCGTAGTGGTGGCGGTGGTGTGATGGGCGCCAGGGGCTCGGGCTGCTGAATCGGAGTCCGCACTCTGCCTTTGTCTGCTTCGTTCTCCGTGGAGACTGTCTTCGTTGTCATCTTCTGAATCTGCCTCCGTGTTCTCATCGTCGTCGTCTAGCCTGCCCCGCTCCTCTCTTTTCCTCCTGTCACGACGAACCGCTGCAGCTGCGTCTTGTTCATCTGCTTCATCACTGTCCTCCCACTCGTCCTCACTCTCATCGCTCCTGTTCCTCTTCGTTTCCTCTTCCTCATCTTCCTCTTCGCTGTCGTAGTCTGCGCGCTTTGTCTTCTTTTCTTCCTCTTCCTCCTCGCCATCATCTTCACTGTCATCGTTCATATTCCTCTTCTTCGCTTCCTTTTCCTCTTTCTCTTCCTCCTCGTCCTCGTCTTCCTCTTCGTCCTCTTCGTCCTCTTCGTCCTCTCTACTTTCATCATTCGGCCTTTTCTTCTTCTCTACTCCCTCTTCATCTTCCTCCTCCTCTTCTTCACTGTCATGCTCATTGCTGTCGTCTTCATCTTCCCCTTCAGATTCATCCTCACTGAGGTCTCTGTCAGCGTCGTTTTCTTCCTCCCCAGCCGCAGCAGGCTGTGAACGAGAAACCCCTCGCCGCCCTTGGCGCCCCCTTGCCGAACGCCTGTTCTCCCTCTCTTCATCCTCTTCATCCTCTTCATCCTCTTCATCCTCTTCATCCTCTTCGTCTTCTTTTTCTAACACATCGTCGACTTCCTCGGTCGAGCGTGCCCGTGGTGAGGAGGAGCGACGTCGGCTTTGCCTGTTCCTGTCCATATTTCTGCGAGGGTGCTCTTCGTCAGCCTCATCATCACTTACTTCTTGTGTAGGGTCTACATCAGTATCATCGTCATCGTCTGCATCCCGTGAGCGTTTCTTTTGGCCTCTTTTATGTTCTCCTTCCTCTTCATGGCTCTCCGATTCCCTGTCTTCCTCTTCCTCTTCTTGACCTTCCCCTCCTCTTTCCTTCCGAATGCGAGACCGATCTGAAGTGCGCCGCATTCCTCTGCTCGCATTCTCGTTTTCTGTTCCAGTCGTCGCTTCCTCTTCCTCTTCCTCTTCGCCGTCGTCTTCTTCCCGCCCGTGCTCAGCTGTCCTCCGACGGGGGCTACGGGGGGGCTTCGCGCCTGAGGCTGCAGCGCCCTCCCCATCCTCTCCTGCGGCACCATCCCTTCTTGCAGCGTTCCCCGTTCCCCGTGTTCTTCCTGCAGATGCAGCAGAACCGCTGCCTTCACTGCCTCCGCCTCCCGAAGTGGAGGATTCACGGGAGCCTCCACCACGGGCCTTTGGCCGGCCACGGGAGGAGCTGCTGCGGCTGGATGACTGATCATCTTTTTCGCCGTTCTTATCCGTTTGAGAGTTCGTTTCGTCGTTCTTGTCTGCAGGGGGCTTCGGGTCTGGAGGACCAGCTCGGTATATCTTCAGTTCTTGGTTGCTGCGCGTCTGGAACACAGACTCTTCCGTCGTTATCTCCCGCGGGTCTATAAGACGAGGCGCCACAATGTGCGTCATGATGACCATTTCTTCTACCCATGCTTTTCGAGGCATCCAAGTCTGCCCTCACAACGACAGGCACCAGGAAACGCTCAAGGTATTTTCTGAAGTTCGTTGACCGATGCAACCTAAAACCTAAATCCTGAACCCTAGCTAACAGACCCTAGGCCATAAGCTTGAGGCTTTAAAACCCTACAGTTTTCGGAGCGTTAAGCTGAGGTTTGAGTTTTATCTGAAAGACAGATGTGCCTTTTTGGGTTGCTCACCATCTTTGCCAAGTCCTCCAATTTGACATCAAGCTTCGCAAGCGCCTCATCTGTTGGCGCGAAGAGAGTGATGGCCAATCGGGTGATTATGGAGTCCCCCTGGGTTAAGGGGTTGGATTCCATGGCTTGCGAAAGGAGCGTGAGGTCGGGTTCATTTTTCATGGCGTCCAAGGGGCCCTCCTCGACTTCCTTCCAGCCCTGAAGAGGAGGAAGAGGGATGGTTGATTTGGTCGTTGCTGTTGTTGTAGATGCTTGTTTTGTGCTTGTCGTACGTTTTGTCGTTGTTCGCGTTGCCGTGTTTTCGCCTGTCTCAGTTCTCGCATCTTCTCCGTTGCTGGGTGCTATTTGGCTAGCAGATGCAGCGCTCCGTGGCCGTCGAAGCACAGGGGCATCTTGAAGGAGGCGAGGTGCAAAGGAGGCGTTAGACTGCTCCGTCTCACCATCTTCACTTTCTTCGGACCTCGTGCCCGAGGTTTCTTTACTTGCGCTAACTGGAAAGCCCTGCAGGCCCTCTATCCTCCGGCTGTTGGAGCCAGTGCCACTAGCTGACGGCTGAGGGCGTCTGTTCGGTTGCAGCAACTCGTGTCCATCTGCTTTGTTGTGAAACCCAAGTACAGATAAAGCGATGGAGAAAGGGTCGAATATATGCCTAAAGAAAGAAAAACTGGAGGAGGCTTCTGCTGGTGTATGCGCCGACACAAGGCCATTGGGGCTGGAACTCCACTCGACCCCTTCTTCCGGCTCTTTCAAAAGAGTTTCGTTTGATGAAGAGTGCTGGGAAAACGCGACAAGTACAAGGAACGCCAACCACAGCCGGCGCCGAGGAAAGCCTCCCAGGTGACCCCACAGGTGAAACGACCCCCGAGCGCTCAGGCCGTCCCTCATGGGGAAAATTCTCCATTAAAACCTATTCTTGACATTAAAGTTAGTAAGAACGAAACATATAAATTTTCCCAAACGGCTGTTTTACAGGGGGAACACGGCGCCTCTACGACTCGGCGGCGGCGTCCCACCTGCTCAACTCATCGCTATGGGTGCTCAAGCTAAACTGCCAGGGTTAATCCCCCCGTGATGAATGAAATAAAACAATGAAAGAGCCCGAAATTCGGGTCTTTATCTACACTTGAAACAAAAACGCATATGCTCACATCGCTGGTGAGACAAGAGCGGGCCAACGCAGACTGAAGAGACGCCGCAGGAGCGAGCTCTTGTAGAGGAGCTCGCAACAGCACTCTCTGCAACTAGATTATGAAAACCTTCCCTTCGACTGCAATATTGAATAAATAATACACAAGAGGAATTTGAGAAGCAGGTAATTTTGGCGAGAAGCCGGCGGAGTATCAACACAGGACTGGACGCACACGGCCTGTCGCGAGGCAGTGGGGCCTCCGGCTTCTTGTTCTTCTACGGAAGCCAAGTGTTGGTACGTGCTCCTTCCCTTTCAGAAAGGAAGACGTATGCATAATATTTATGGAAGCAGTATATAAGTAATATGTGTGTGCATTTATCGCGGGCGTGACCGCCCAAGGCAAAGATCGTCTCCTCAGCTCCAGCAGCTGGCTACTCTGGCATTAAAATGTGAGGTTGTTTGTTCACCACAAGTGCAAACTTCACATCGTAGACAAATCCTTCAAGGACATGATACTTCAGAGGGTTTGAAGTGTTTGAAAGCCAAAAGGTTGTTCACTAATTATGTGGAGAGTCCCTCGGTGCACTCTTGCGGGGCTTAAGGGGTTCTTCCACTGGGGTAGCTTTCTTCTAATAGTAATAGTTACACTAGTGGCATGCCTGCCTTCTCCGTGCATTTTCCAGCCGGTTTTTTCTCCGTAAGAGATGCGTCATTTGGCCTGCCCCCAGGTGATTGCCGCGCGCGGGTGGTGCGGCATTACCGTTCACAAAGAACCCTCATTGATGCCTCCCTTTAGCATTCCCTCTCCTGAAGTGCGAGTTGTTTTACATAGTCTCCATTGTCTGTAGTTTTCTAACAGCTGTTTTCTGCTCTCTGCTTTGCCGAGTTATCTCTGCCATTATGCAAAACTCCGATGAAGAGCCCCATACAGGGGCCAGAAAATGCATATACACGGTCCAAAAGTCTTTGTTTAAAGATTTACAAGCGTTGGTCGCTGTGAGCATGCGTGGAAGGCGTCTCGCAGTATTCTCTTGCCAGCCGCTTGGCTCTTCGTCCCCCAGCAAGTTTTTTCGAAGCCTTAGTACTGGATTTGAAGCACCAGCCTTCATCTTCAGCGTGCATCTTCACTCTTACGCATTTGTCTGTACGCTGAAGCAGCACTCTACTTTGAAGCCGTTGGCGCAGCGCATGGAAATGTAGCCGAACAGGCGACGCTGTTTCAAGGCAACTTGAGAGGGCAATCCACAACTTCCCACACCATGAAACTGATGGTAGGCCAGAACACCCAGTAGTCAACTGGCGTGTGTTTCGTGTGTCTTGCATGCGGAGGTAGGGTTTTTTTTGCGCTGCTCAACGTGCTCTACAGTGAAGATCCGAGCGGCTGCAAAGGATATACTGGGAGATGTTACCTACTGCATGCACAGCGCAGCCCCCAACACTTCTAAATACTGTGGAGTAAAAAGGAAAGGCCTAGCCGGCGATCCCCCAAATCACTAATATGTGCCGCCACCCCTGTCGGGTAGATTGCATGACTCCACCTTCCCATCTCACCTCCCACTTACATGAAAGAGCAAATAAATAGGATTGAACTGAAGAGTTTCGCAGCTTTGCACAGTGCTGATCGAAGCGCAAGTATAACCCCAGCAGCTAGCTAGGTGGCTAGTCCGCTGCGGGCGCTGCACCTCCATCCCTCCCTGGACGGTCACAAGGAAGATCACCTGCGTCGTCCTACACCTCAAATCACTGACAAGGCGCCGAGGGAGGAAGACGAAACGGGGAAAAAAGTAACAGGGAGTCTGCGTTAGAGGCCTATGAATTCCGCCTATGTGAGTTGGCTGGGGTTTGATGCAAAGAGGCTTCCTTCATCAGGAGAGTGCAAAACGTGCAAGCAGATTACATCTGTTTTGCCAGTATTTTCAACTCGTCTTCCGATGGAACGATTAACACATGTTTCATCAGAAGCAAATACGCAACATGATAGTCGCTGCGGCCTCCTGAGAGGTCAATCGATTCCCAAGGCACTTCCGTAACTTTGTCGTCATCGAACTTTCGCCACATGACGGCATTCTTTTGTTTTTTTGCGGCGGGGCCTGATGCAGCTGCCTGCTGTTCTTCTTCTTCTTTCTTCTTTTCCTCATCTTGTGCATTTGGGGGCCCCTGAGGAGCGTCCGCTCCCCCTGCTCGTGCCCAGCCCACGTAGTGCCCGCTGTCTGCGTAACGGCCCTGGTGTGTCACGACACTCAACAGCTGATATGTTCCCGTAGGGCACGGCTTCCCTGCAAGAAGAAGCAACTCAGCTTCCCTCTTCGCCACATCTGCCTCCCTATTTGCATTCACCTCGGCCTCCGCTGCAGCGGGTGCTGCAGAGGCATCAGCAGTAGGGTTGCTCCCGCCGTTGTTGCTGCTGCCGTTGCTGCTGCTATTGTGGTTGCTGCCGTTGCTGCTGCCGTTTGCTGTTGCAGGACCAGCAGCAGCACCGGTAGCAGGAGTTGAAGCTGCCGCAACACCGGCAGATGCTTCTCGTTCTCGGCGCAAGGCAACGATCGCCCGACCCACTTTGAAGGATTCCTGTAACTCCTGGGGAGTGCAATTGCAAAGGCACAAAAACACATTGTTCCAGCTCAGCAAACAAGAAAGAAAAGCGAGAACACCAAGACAGCAATCAGACTGCAGCGCCCCGTGTTCAGAAGCGACCGTAGTGAGATGGGTGGCATATGTTTAAGCAAGGGGTTCCGCGGCATCCAAAAACAACACGGACACTCATCTTCATTAGTAACTAATCAATTCATTTAAAGCAGCACTTCGTACGTGCATTGAATCACCTTCGTGCAAAAAGGAAACATATCGAGGGTTTGTCCGAATTTGACACTCCGACATATTTTGGCCTTTTCAGATTCTGTGCCTCCCACTTTCCACTCAAAACGCATGAAATGTAGAATGAGGTACAGCGCAAGGCTCTTGATTCGGTTGCTCCTGGTGAGCGTTTCCTCTGCTGGTGGTGGTGCTGCTGCTTCCTCCGTTGCCGCTGCTGCTGCAGTTGATGCAGCTTTGCCGCTGTTGCCGACCTGCACGACTTCGTCTCCTAGAGAAAACTTAAGACTCTCTTCCAGCGTGCTCACAGGTTTCTGCGGGGTGCCCAGGAAGCAGGTGAGTTTGCGGTGTTTTTCGATTTGCACAGTGGCGTTGCTTGGCTGTTCTTCTCTTCCGTCATTTCTGTTTCTGTTCGACGTGACCTCCACCTGTACTCCAAACAGCAAATCTAAAGCTGAAGAAGACGAAGCAGAAGACGAGGAAGACGCAGACGAAGAAGATCCCCCAGAAGCAGTCAAAGGGACGTAAGCCAGCGACTTTAGTAATCCCTCTGCTGCCCCTCTGTCCAGGCTCTCCGCAACCGCAGACATTAAACAACTCAAACACTCCTCAGCGTCCTGCTGCATCGGGATGCCCGTCGTGCCTAAACAACAGCAGCAGAAGCACGCGCACCCCATACGCAATAACATCCACCTATTACATCTCTTGTGAAGAAGCAAACTGCACGCAAACAACCACTCTCTGTCTGTCTGTCTGTCTCTCTCTCTCTCTCTCTATATATATATATATATATATATATGTACATATACATATATATATATATATACATATGCATATATTATATATATGCGCGAGGCTATACGTATGCACACATATCTATATGTAGGCATGTATATCCTATTTTACATACAATATGCGTACATGCATCTGCGTATATATATATATATATATATCGCTTAGTCTCTATACATATATGTATAGACGAATGCAAAACGCTTACCCAACTACGAGTGCTCCTAACAAGGATACACCCAAACTCCCCCCCACCCCACTATATATCTCTCTTCATGTTGCCATTGCATGCGTAGATAAGAAGGATTAAGGGTACATACGAGTACATGTACCCTTAATCCTTCTTACTATTTAACATATATTCAAGCAACGAACGTATACTTCTGCTCAGTCAGTCACCCTTTGAACCCCAAGGTTAAACCCTCGAAAACACCAACAGACAGGGGAAGCGATATCGCTCCAATCTCCCTCCTGCTGGAGAGCACGCATCTGCTCCCTCTAAACAGCTAATTAAGAGGAGAAGCAACACATGAATGTGCAGCAAAAACAACAAAAATGACAATGAACGGAGACAAACAGCATGCAGCAACAACAGGAACAATTGCGCAAGAACAACAACAGCACGAGCTGAATATGTCCTTCCAGAAGCCAGCTTCTATGTGCCACACCTTACAGCGCAAATGCCTTTACTCCTCACTAAAAACAGATAAACAGAACAAGACAAAAATACGAACAAAACGAGACAAGGAACCTTCAGCGCACCTGCCTGGGAAGTTGAGCGCCTCGAGAACTGCGGATAAGCCTCTCGCAAGGCAGGAACCTGAGCATTCAAAACCCTAAACCCTAAACCCTAAGCCTCAGTAAACCCTAAAAAACTAGTAATGCCTGCAACACAGGCTGCATCTGTGGGGCCGCAATGCCTAGCCGAAAGGCCCTCGGCAAAAAAAGTTACCAAAGAAGCAGTAAAACAAAAGACAAGCAAACCAACGAGAAAATAAGAATAGGCAGTGGACAAAAAAGGAGCGAGCAGGCGAGAACAACAAGTTTTAAACGATAAAAACAAGATATGCAGGGAGGAACAAGAGCGGCCCGCATGCAACAAACAGCAACCATCAACAACAGCAAAAAGCGGCAAACAGCAAAGAGCACCAAATAACAAATAACGAACAGAACAAACAACGAAAAACAGCAACCACTGAACAGCAGGAAAAGGGCCCCCTTCCCCGCAATGGGTTTGAAAATATCACTTAATATGTACAAGACATTTGGATTACCAGAAGGAAGGGAGAAACGGGTTCAATGGTCCCTTGCCATTGGTTGTAGAAGTCCTTAAGGGCTAAGGCGAGCCGTCTCAGTGCACCCTGCTGCCCTGAAGATGCAAACTGAGCAACTGATGCGTCTCCCGAGATGTATGTTTTTATTAGAGAATCAAAGTCAGATACAGGACGCAGCATTTGAAGAACAGACGCCAAATAACAAGTGTTCCCCAGGTTCACAATCCCCTAAAAGATCAGCAGCAGGCGCACACAAACCCTAAACCCTACATCCTATATAGGAGGAAGACGAGGCGCTGCTGCTGCATTCGGAGAACGGGAAGCAAAGGAGACGTAACAAACACCAACCAAACGCTCCGTTTCAGCCTACAACACTGACTCCTAAACCCTAAACCCTAAGCCCTCACATTAGGCAGAGGTTCAACCTTCTTCTCTCGCAGCAAAGCGGCTTGTTGAGCTGGTGTAAGGTCTTCAACGAAAACAGTTTTCTCTGGAGGAGGCAGTACTTTTGCTGCTTCCTCAGCTGTGCCCATCAGCATTATCTTAGGACAGCCACTTGCTGCAACTGCTCGCAAATCAGCATCTCCTTTGAGGGTCTTCCCCTTGCACAGCAACTTCTGGCGCTCAACAGGCACGCCTGTCAAAGTGCTGCGGCAGCAGCAAAGTGAAGACAAAACAACGCTTGCACGCATGCCCATGCAAAAACAATTTAACCTGGAAGAGGACTTGGGATGCCAGACACTACCAACTCCTCCCCTCGAATTTATTATTACTATTATTATTACTGCCGTGCAGCAACGCTGAAGCACTGCAGAACTCCAATGGCGATGCATGCAGGTGAGGTAAAGAGAAGTGCTGCCAGCTGCGGTGCTACAGTACTTTTCCTAAGCTGAGATACATATTGTGCATCGCGTGGCTGCGCTCCTACTACGGCTGATGGGTCTCCCAAGCTCTGTTTTCACTCGGGGATTAGGATCTAGGGTTTAGGGTTTAGGGTTGGAGTGGTAGGGCCCCACTAGAGCTGCGCCTGAAAGACTTCAAGGGACTCGGTGAGGTCAATCTGAACACTGAACGATTTGCTGCCCCATTTAACTGCCGCCTGCACCTCTGAAGCTGTCATTTTGCTGCAAGGTGAAGCCGTAAGCCAAAAATTAGAAGGAGAGAGGACGGCTCGGGAGAGTGCGAGCGAGCCTAGTTGCTGCGTGAATGCCCGCGGACAGAAAACAAGAAGAAATAATTATAGCATGCAAAACTAAAAGGAAAATACACCTACGGTTTTGCCGAGCAGCATGCAGTAGCCGAACGGCAGCAGTTCGTGCTGGAGAAGAAGCCCTCTGGTGTACGTACAGCACAACGCCTTCCCCTTTTTTCTGGGAAACTTGACTTTAAGTCGCTTCATAGAGAGTCCGTGAGTTAATGAAACTTTTTAATTTTATTATTAGACGCATTTTTCTGTCACGCACGGCGTTTAGGGAAACCACCACGGCCACTGGTCGGCCGTCGCCTGCATTTGATCTACACATGTGAGATGAACAGCCTCCCTATCTTCCCCGTTCTCCTTCTTCATTTCACCCCATAAAAGACATTAAGTCTTTAAACTAATCCATTTAACAGGATGAGAGCGAGGCAACGTCATGCCTACCCTTCTCGAGCCGCCTTCTGGCAGCAGTGCGCATCCGATGTATACGTGCAGATATTGCGCTCAAATATTTATTCATTTTTCTTCTTGAAACATAAACCAGTGAAATGCTCTGCTCTTCCATTGTGGTGTCTATTTCGCCTCTCTGCGGCGTTTCATAGGGGGCATCTAATGTAATAATTTACACGGTGATGGAAGGATGGGGGCTGACCGTTATTACTCATGTGTCAGCCTCTTCATTGCGGTTTATTGCTATGGGACTTTGAGAAACCTCTCTTTAATAGCAAAGAGGGAAGTTAAGAAATTGATGAAGAAGCCGCAGCCAGCACAACGAGAGAGCGAAGCTGGTGCAGCACCCTACTGCACATATGGTGGTACGTTCTTGTACAAATACAGAAAATGCAGTTTTTTGGAATTATATATAGATAATTCTCCTTTTGTTTGGTCTTGTATTGCAAGCAGTCCAGCTGCACTTATTAACGCAGATTTACAGACGTTTTTGAGCACGTCTACTTGCAGTTTCCTGGCCTTCTTTGCTGACACTCATGTACTTGTACTCTTTCTTAGAACATTCACAGCTTCAGGGCAAACATGACCGCTATCTACTGAGACTGCTTCCTGTGCCTACATTCTTTTTCGTGTTGAAAGACGAAACATAAACTGACGAATGCTAATTCCATATATATATATATAAATATATATATATATACATATATATATATATATATATATATTTTTTTTTTTTATTCGTAGCTGAACAGCGGAGACATCCCGGTGCCAATGTGCTGGCGAGTGCTAGTAAGAGTAGGTTAAAAGCACATATCACGAAAAATGCACGCGAATAAGTAGGCATATTCAATATATATATATATATATATATATATTTATATATATATAGCTGTAAACATATATGTGTAAGATC